CTGCTGGGATACGCAAACATCAACTCTGAGCTCTTTGTCCCCGTATTCCACCGAAGTTGTGCGAAGTCTGGCGAGGTCTGGCACTGTAGAGATTGGAGGATGCTCATAGCTTGGACGGAAATCAGAACGATGGGGGTTATCCGGATCAGAAGTCTGGCCGTCCAGCGCAAGCGCAGTCTTCTCCTGGTGGCAGCATAGATGTGTGTTCTGTTAAGGATGATTGCCATGGCGATGCAAGCTATGGCCCAGCGACTGGTTGCGTAGCTGAAGACACTGCCGAAGCCGCGGACGCCATCAACAGACAAGCCCGAAGACCTGACCGCCGTGTGTTGTGCCATATCTGTGGCCTCCCAGTCTCTCGTAGCTTGGATTTGCCGATCAAGCGTTTCGTACAGCGGAGGGTCGCCTACCAACCGTCGCAGCGTATCGAGGTGCACTTCGTGAGCAGGATCCAATGGCAATTCTCCGATGCTGCTCTCAGGGCCTCCAGCAGTGGACACGAAAGAACCAATTCTTCTGAGCACGCGGGGGCCAGCCAGAAGAACGTCTTGATACGACGGTGTGAATCGCATGGTAGCGTTAACGGCCCATGATGTCAGGTTGGACCAGGTATTTGTAGCATCGCGAATGTTGGTAGTAGTGTGGATCGGGTGGCTCGTGGAATCGGTCATATCGATCTCCATATGTGCAAGTTCGCCGCTGCCTGCGCACTCACGGTGGCTGTCGTACAAAGCTGGGCTTGAATCGCGTTGTTGATGATGGTGTTGTCCGGTCGGACACGTAAGACTGCTCCGGTGCTCAAGGTCGCTGGTACTGTTGGGGCGCGCGCATCGTATTGTCGCTATCAAGACAAAGGTTGTCGTTGGTATCCCTTGGCGCGGCAGGGGATTGATGTGCGGAGGAGGAGAGTATTGCGCGTGAAAGCCCGGCTTCGCTTGATTGGGCTGCGTAACTTAATCGTGAGGCAAGCTCGCCGTTGTGACGTGTAAGACAACGTGCGTGATGCATGGGTCTATGCGGCATGCCAGATGGATGAAAGGGCCCAGCCTCGGTCCCTAACCTGACGCGGCCGCTGGGCGCTCGTGGCTACATTTAGGATGGCCCGCGCACCCACCGATGGGAGTGCGCCTTTATGCCTTGGAGCTTGGAAGCTGCTCCAATTATGTCCTGCTAGCCTCACCTCTACACGCGACAGAGTGGGTTCTGGAACAGAGGCATTATATGTATTCCATCGATTGCGCTATCGTGGAGTTGAAGCGAAATACCAGGTACGGAAGAACATGCCAAGACGCGAGCAAGTGTAAATGACATTTTTCATAGTTTTGACGTACGCCGCACACTTAATGAAGGATAAGTTAGACTTTCCAATCCAACTGACTGTTAAACCTGTAGTGTTTTCCGTCGGGGGGGTTCTTTATTTTCAGCCGAGCGACACACAGCAGAATTGGCGACCCAAACGCAGCCGTATTGCCTGTGAAGGGTACACACAGGTGCCTTTTCTTGCAGAGGGCCCTCAATGTTCGAAAGAGGGCAGAACGCCTCTCTAGGTAACCCACGCGAGGATGCCCCCATCCAGAGGCTGTTGCCTGAGATACGACCTGGTGCTTGGACCTATACAGCGACCCAAGCCCATCCTCATCGACGTGAAGGGGAATTGCGCACGCAAGTTCATTTTTCGAAGAAGTTTGTTGGCAGGCTTTGTCTCACTATCACACCTGAGAAACCTAGCCGCCACATGCGCTTCTCTGCTCCCTTGCTAAGGCCCTCTATGATTCTCTTGGATTGAAGATGGCTCAATTGCTCGTGATGGCTCTGGTGAGGGTGCTAGAGATTGCCCGGCTGTTGCCTTTGCTCGCGTGAACGGCTCGCGCAACCAGATCTCGGTATAAATCGGGGTTCAACGAAGGTACGTCACCCTTGAGCCATAAGTTCGTGATCTCATCTCTGGTTGGCAAGTATGCCACACAGCAGGCTGCTAGGATTTCGTCATGCTCGAGCGGCGAGGGATCCAGCACGATCTCGTGTTGACCTTGTTGCGCTCCAGGGATTAGAGCAGCCACACCTCCAGCTACAGTGTCCACGCAGTCGATGCCAGCGTCAGCAAGGGCCGCTGCTGCCACGGTGACACATGAGCTAAACACATTCATTGCATCCCATTCCTCGCTCCCGGTGTCGAGCGCAGTCTGCCTGGCTTCCTCGCCTTCGATGATTGTTACAATGACGTCTACGCCACTCTTCGGCCACCGATCTGCGATCAAAGCTCCCCGTAGCGCAGTCTCTAGGTGCGTACTGAGATCCCGCTCGCTCGAGTCTCTCAAATATCCGCGGCGATGCTTAGTGGCAAATGGAGCATACTTAACGTGTGTTGAGAGTACCATATGGGGTGAGAACGGTGCAGAGCGAGGTAATGAGCGTGGTCCATGAACCGTGCATGTTATTTTCATACCGCTTCCCAGAGACGGATCGCGTGCTTCGCATTCGAGATATGCTGATCCTGAAGCGGATGGAGTCACACCGGTCTGCAGATCTGCGCTGACTTAGTGAAAAAATCAAACTGAGGGAGTACACACTGTGCCGTACATGTTCCTCGAATGCCGTTTGCTAACCTTGTCCGCTTGGAAACGACACTGGAGTCTTCATGGAACCGAGGTGGCAGAGTCGGAGCACTTGGCCCATTGATACGCCGGCGATCAGCCATGACTATGTCGACGGATTTTTGATGAGAAATCGGACTTGTGGGCAGGAAGCTTTCAACACTGGTGAACGACGAGTCTCCATATCTATCCTTCCCTGTGAACAGGCAGGTTCGCCATTTTTTTATGACTCCCTTACTTACTTACAACGCCTAAAAGCATGTCTCCAAACTTACCTACCTTATGCTCATTGGGGGCAAATGCAGTTGTGTCTGTTACAAAGACGGGGCGAAGATGCCATTAGGCCACCAGTAGTCACTCGGAAAGGATAGGCATATTCCTCCAACACTCAACGTCCGCCATATATTAGGCATATCTTCGCTTCGATGTAATATACTGTGATACTTCTCTCTAAGTGCATAAGCTCAAAGTACCTTGTTAGTTGCATACTGCCGTCCCACATAATATCCACACTTGCCAGCGGCCTTAAATTCTCGCGTTTGCGTTTTCTTTCTCGCAAGCTGTAAAAATTGGCTGGTTTCGCAAGCCAAGACACAAAGCCCTCTAGGCACAAACGCCCTCCAGGTATCATGACAACAGAGTCAGTCACGGCGCCATGAGTTGTTGAGTAGACACTTGTTCTATCAAGGTATGTTTTCACTGTTTACCAAGCAGCAGCCCTGCCGACTCTGTGATGATTTTACACCACTGTTCCTGCGACAACCTGAGCAATCCGAACAACATGCACTACCATCTGACTTTATCCTCATTGATGTTTACATTGATTGGCATTGCGGAGCATTGGCTAACGAATATGACAGTCAGACCTGCACAATCATGACCTGGTAGATCACCAGTGGGTCTACATTCGCCTTTGGTAAGGAAATTTCTTTCTCAACCTTGCACCATCATTATCTGTCGATGATGAAAAATCTTTTTCCAGTTCTGCTACTGAGTTTCTGTGACGACTCCCAAATTTACCATACCAAGATCTCTGATCGATTCGACTCATCACAACTATTACCATGCCGAGCTCTAGGTGTTTCATCAGCTAACATGGGCATTAGGACGCAAAACATCTGTGTGGATTGTAGCGCTCCCGCACGTCGGTATTCTCCATACGGTATGTCGAGTTGCCCGAACCCCCAAAAACACAACACCGATGATGAAACAAGTTTATCCATTCAACTACCGTACCGGCCATGTCGTCCTTTCACACCTTAGCAGACAATGTTTGCGATGATGGGTTGTAAAGTTGCTTTCATTAGTTTAATTCGACTACAGTGCCGAACTCCTGGGTCGGTCCGTTTTGGGCTGGGTCAGGCGCGAGGCCGGCTGGGACGACTGAGTAAACTGGCTTGGCTGAGCTCCTCACTCGACCACGTATCTTTGACGACTTCCGCGAACTTTGCTAATAGTCACTTCAGGACCCGTGTGATTCAACCCTAGACAGGCTCGTGTGCTGGGCACACCAATATCATTTCGCTAACCGCCGACAGTGGACGCTGTTTCCTGGCCGCAACGACAAATCATGTTCATGGAACTGCAAGTGCAGCAAAAACGGGCAATTCCACCAAACCCTGCCCTGATTTTCCCCATCCTTGCCGTAGATATGACACTAGGCCTCGTAATCTAGACTCTTAGTTGTGAACCTTTGGTAAAGTAGTCGCGGCTTTTACGAGTAATGATGAACAACTTAGGTTCGAATTATCGGATCGGCGCATATAGTTAGCATTCAATGAGACTGTTCCTGGAAAACTTTCCGGATCATCAGCTTGAATCCTCGCTAGCGAAGTCAGAGTCTACAACATGCTGAAGTGTGTATTACGTGTCCTGCTATTTGACAAGACAACTGCCATTGCGATGAATGAGCTTCCTCTGGGCGATAATTCTGGCCGGTTAGTGGAGTAATGATATGTATTAGCTGTCGACAAGTCGTCGTTACACGCATTTGGAATTCATGCTGATTTCAATCTTGAGCATCGTTTGCCATTCCGGAGGTTGGGCGTCTGGTGCAGGCGATTGGCCAATCAACTGCGCCATTGCCGCGTCTCACGATCTACCTACGCCAGACGGCAAGTTACCTCCTTGGGCTACGTGCCAGGATCCACATCACTCGGCGACCCTAGAACTAATTATTATCACCCTTCTTCTCAATGTCAACCATTGCACTACATCATTCAGCGATACACCTTGCAGAATCCTAAGATAGTCGAACATCGAGTTTTCCGATTATCGCGTGTCTTTCCACGTTCGCGCAACTGACGCTGCGCAAGTCGGAGAAGGCGCCAGCTGGCGTACCCATCCAAGGAAGGGGCTTGCCATCTGGCCAAACCAACACGAAAACCTTAACGAGAACGACTCGACATGATTCCCCGGCACCATTCGAGCGGCTTTGCCAATGGGCACACGCGAGAGAAGACCTTCGACTTTTCGCCCCATCGGTACGAGTGTGATACACAAGGGAGCACTCGACTCCCCGATCCAGGCACTCGCGACTAATGCCCTAAACTTAGATTCCAGCCACGCGCTTCCGCAAACAACAACCGCCATCGTAAGAAGTTCGCGGCTCGCTTTGGTGCGGTCCTCTTTGTTGTCGTGCTGGTTTCCATCTGGCTATGGCCATCAAGTTCTGTCGCATCACTAGTTTCCTTTGGTCTGTTGGCGTCTGGCACTGATCTTGAGCTGGAGACCGTGCGGTATTATGATCTCACAAATGTGCAAGGAACTGCGAGAGGTTGGGAACGCGAGGAACGCATACTTCTCTGTGTGCCCCTGCGCGATGCTGAGGCCCACCTGGGAATGTTTTTTTCCCACTTGCGCAACTTCACCTATCCTCACCATTTGATCGATTTGGCTTTTCTGGTTTCTGATTCGAAAGATCAGACCCTCGAGGTACTGTCCTTAAGCCTCGAGGAGCTGCAAGCGGATGCGGATCCCAAACAGCCGTATGGCGAAATCTCTATCATTGAGAAAGACTTTGGACAGCAGGTTAACCAGGACGTGGAGAGTCGCCACGGTTTCGCAGCACAGGCCACTCGCCGCAAACTGATGGCACAGGCCCGGAACTGGCTGTTGAGCGCAGCATTGAGGCCATACCATTCTTGGGTGTATTGGCGAGATGTTGATGTGGAGACAGCACCCTTCACAATTCTTGAGGATCTCATGCGTCACAACAAAGATGTAATTGTTCCCAGTAAGTACAGCCTCGGCGGCTCCCAACATGGAGGAAGTGCTAATGTATTGGAGATGTTTGGCGCCCACTGCCCGAATGGCTCGGGGGCGAGCAACCGTATGATCTGAACTCGTGGCAGGAGTCGGAAACTGCTCTCGCTTTGGCCGATACTCTGGACGAGGACGCCGTCATCGTGGAAGGCTACGCCGAGTATGCCACCTGGAGGCCTCACCTGGCGTATCTAAGAGACCCCTACGGGGATCCAGACCTGGAAATGGAAATTGATGGCGTTGGTGGTGTGAGCATCTTGGCGCGGGCCAAGGTCTTTCGGAGTGGCGTGCACTTCCCGGCTTTCAGCTTCCAGAAGCATGCTGAAACCGAAGGATTCGGAAAGGTATCTTCCGGCGAGCTACTTTCTTTGCTGCAGGTTAGCTGACATGACGAGCAGATGGCTCGGCGCATGCACTATTCTGTTGTCGGATTGCCCCATTACACAATTTGGCATTTGTATGAACCGAGTGTAGACGATATCCGGCACATGGAGGTACGTTTTCATCGGTCATTGTTTTTGAACTATCGATTGGTACTAAGTCGTTCACCAGGAAATGGAACAGGAACGTCTCGCCCGAGAGAAAGAGGAGGAGGAGAAAAAGAAGAAGGCAGCCAAGATCAAGGAGGAATTCGGCGACGCTGATACACAATGGCAGAAGGATAAGCAAGCCATGGAAGACTCAAACGTTCAACCAAAGGCTGGAGCCAAACCCGTCAAAGCTGCCGAAGCAGAAGGTGTCGCCCAGGAAAATAAAGGGACAGCGAATAAGGCCGCTGCTGCACAAGCTGCTAACCCAGCAGCTGCCAAAGCTTAAAGACATCTTCTGCTGTAGCTTCATTACATGTATCAAATTTGTCAACACTTCGCTCCTTGGGAATAAGGCAGCAGCTTCCTAATTGATGAGCGTTGAAATACAATGGGCAAATTCGCGTGAAGGCAGCAATGTCGTGAAATGGGTTAAATATTGCGTACCGTAATGTGCTTTAGTACGGGCCAGGGGAGGTCCAGTCCCGCTGGGTCCAGTCGCCATCCCTGAACCTACAGGTACGACCAATCATATACAAGCTGGATCTTGAGAAGACGACACGGTAGGAGCCCAGCATCAACCACCTCCATCAGCAAATTCCGACTGTTGTGTTGAGAGTGCATCTTCTTTCTCTGTCATATTTTTGTCCTTGGGCTCCATGTATCGGCCAGCTGATTTGCGTTTTGAAATATAGGTAACGCGTCAATTCCTGTATTACATGGCAAGATTAACAGGTTGATTTTAGATCCAAACCGGAGGAGCCACCGCGAACGATGAACCGCGATGCACGCTCTGATACAGCGATGGAAACCACACCAACTCGTGGCATTGTGCCAAACCCGCTTCGCTTAGACACTCCGCGAATGCAGTACCGAAGCCGGCCGGTCTCCGTCGCTGTCGACCCCGTGTCTCTGGTCATATCAGAGTGTATCTCCATCACCTCCGCCATGCAAAAGCATGCTCGTTCGCAGCACTCGTCGGTTTCCGCCATCCTAGGTGTCAACCCCAATCCAATACACCTCGGCCCGCCGATTCCCACACTGCGAGGCGGAGATAGGGAGTCTTCCAGCAATGCTGATACTGACGATGCGAATGAACATGCGCTTGGAAACAGATGGGGTCTGCGAGGACAGAGAGGAAAGAGCATGCAGGACAATCCCATGATTTCTGGGTTCGGAAAATTGCGACATGACATCGCCGGACGCAAAGGTAGGACTCGTCCTGGCCGTAGGCACGAATCGTGTCGCTACCGCAAGCAACCGCTAACGTAATATATTATAGACATTCATTCCTTCGATGCGCCGTCTCTTCTTGCGCCTTTCTTGCACGTCATTCAAGCGAAGGGTACTGCGGCCCCTATCACGATTCTAGCTCTTGGAGCCCTCCGAAAGTTCCTGGCGTACGGCTTCCTCTGTCCAGAGTCGCCTCGATTTGCACATGCCATGCAGTCGCTATCTGCTGCGGTAACGCACTGTCAGTTTGATATCAGTGATGCGGGTCAAGTGGAGGTTGTACTACTCATGATTTTGAACTTGATGGAGGACATGATGTCTGGTCCTGGCGGCGACATTCTCAGTGACGAGAGTGTGTGTGATATGATGGGCCGGGGTTTGGCCATCTGCTCACAGCCGAGATTTTCACCTGTCCTGCGCCGCACTGCTGAAGCTGCAATGGTCAGAATGTGCCAGATTATCTTCGAAGATGTCAAGCACATAGAGATTGAGACTGGGCCAGATGCCGGAATTCTCAGTGGAAGCACCGGAGAAGACGAGGTGCAGGTCCACATGACAAATGCAGATGCGGTCCCTGTATCAGCGGCAAAAGTCTCGAGTGAAGGCGGAGAGGGGCCCCGAGCCGAATCTCAAGCACCGGCCACTGCATCGGCCATCGCTCCAACGGACCGTCAGGGAAATGTGGACAAGTCAGACACAGGTGCAGATACCGATTTTGATGCTGGACAGCCTCAAAAGGAAAGCGACAGCCAAAGCGTGGAACAGACCGACGGAAAAGAGTCTCTCGACCTGAAGCCGTACTCACTTCCCTCGGTCAAAGAACTGTTTCGAGTATTGGTGAATTTCCTCGACCCGCACGATCGTCATCACACTGATACCATGCGTGTCATGGCTATGCGAATCATTCATGTGGCTCTGGAAGTAGCCGGACCCTTCATCGCTCGCCATCCTGCTCTCGCAACTATTGCTGAGGATCAATTATGCTGCTACCTATTCCAGCTGGTACGCTCCGACAATATGGCCATATTACAAGAAGCACTCATGGTTGCTGGTACGCTGCTGGCGACATGTCGACCTGTGCTTAAGCTACAGCAAGAACTCTTCTTGTCCTACCTCGTCGCTTGCCTGCACCCAAATGTCGAGATCCCAAGAGAGCCAGGCATCAACCCCTCGCTATATTCTGGCATTCCTCAGACGCCGAAACTTGTCAAACCGGCCCCGTCAAAGGCAACACAACCGGCCAGCGGCCGCTCAACCCCAGTGCCCGTCAAAGACAGACAAAAGCTAGGGTTGGAAGGAGGCGCGCGCAAACCAGATGCCCGTCAGGCAATGGTAGAGGGCATCGGTGTGCTCTCGCGGATGCCTACCTTTATGCTGGAGCTATTCGTAAACTACGACTGCGACCCGGACCGAGCTGACATGTGTGAAGACATGATAGGCCTACTTTCGCGCAACGCCCTCCCTGATTCAGCTACGTGGAGTACCACTAGTGTTCCGCCGCTATGCTTGGACGCTCTACTGCGGTACATCCAATTTATCGCCGAACGCCTTGAGGACGAGTCTCTCACAAAGGGGTTGCCAGAGCCAGCCATGCTAAAAGAGCAACGTCGAAAGAAGCAGACCATCATTAGGGGTACGGCGAAATTCAACGAGAAGCCTATGGCTGGCTTAGGTTACCTCGAGACACAGGGAGTTCTTACCGATGCTCGTGATCCGGTCGAAGTTGCTCAATTCTTGAAGAGCACTTCCAGGTTATCCAAGGCCGTTCTTGGCGAATTTCTTTCGAAGCGAGGCAACGAAGCGTACCTGAACGCTTTTCTCGACCAGTTCGACTTTGCAGGGCGTCGCGTTGATCAGGCTCTAAGGCTTCTCCTAGAGTCTTTTAGACTGCCTGGTGAAGCCCCCCTTATTGAACGCATCGTCGAAGCCTTTTCGGAAAAGTACATTGAAGCGGCCCATCCACCCGAGGTTGCAGGCAGTGAAGCTGTCTATATCTTGACGTACGCTATCATCTTGCTGAACACAGATCAGCACAACCCGAATATGAAGGATAAGAGGATGACTCTCGAGGCGTTTGCCAGGAACCTGAGAGGCACCAACAAGGGCGAAAACTTCGCGCCTGATTTTCTTGAGGCCATCTATCAATCTATCAAAACCAACGAAATCATCCTACCAGATGAGCACGACAACAAGGATGCATTTGACTACGCTTGGCGAGAGCTGTTGCTCAAGACGGAGTCAGCTGGTCCTTTACAAATCTGTGAGACAAACATTTACGATGCCGACATGTTTGCCGCAACCTGGCGACCGGTTGTATCTACTTTGTCCTACGTTTTCATGTCTGCTACAGATGACGCGGTCTTTGCTCGCATAGTGACAGGTTTCGATGAGTGTGCGCGCATCGCAGCAAAATACGGCAACGCCGAGGCCCTTGACCGCATCGTGTACTGCCTGAGCCAAATATCTACTCTGGCCTCAGATGGACATTACAATACAGTCCTCAACACTGAAGTGCAAGTCGGAGACGGCAGAGTCATGGTCAGTGAGCTTGCTGTCAAGCTAGGCCGAGACTTCAGAGCCCAGCTGGCCACACTGGTTCTCTTCCGAGTAGTGACAGACAATGAGGGGCTTCTTCGAGACAGCTGGGAACATGTACGCCCCAATATCTGCTACGACGAACACGACTGACAACCTGCACAGATTATCCGCATTTGGCTGAACCTTTTTGTGAATTCCCTCGCGGAACCGTTCTCATCTCCAGATCTGCCTCTCTTCCCTATCCCACCTATTCCTCTCCAGCTACCCTCACAAGTGATCGACCGGGCTGTGAGGTCCGCTGACACGGGATTTTTCTCGGCGTTCACATCGTACATATCAAGCTATGCTGCAGACGACCCTCCTGAGCCATCAGAAGAGGAACTAGAAAGCACTCTCTGCACCGTCGACTGCATCAAGTCCTGTGAAATCGATAATGTCCTCAAAAACATCGCGTAAGTTCACGGCCTCAAGGTGTTCCTTAACCACATAATCTGACCGCATGTTTAGACTACTCCCGGCAGCACAATCGAAAATTGTAGTCGAGGCAGTTCTCAAGCAGTTGCCTGAGAATAATCAAGAAGTCGTGATCGCCATGAAGCAGGAGGACATTTCCTCCCCTACCCCGAGCGGTCCGGGAACTACCTCAACGCCCCTTAAGTACGACCCTAGTGTTGCCTTCTTACTGGAGCTTGGCACCATGCTGGCCATTCGAAACAACGACTCACTTGAAGCTATGGGAAAACTTGTCTTCGATACTCTCCAGGCGATACTGCGAAACCCTCTCATGTGGCACCCTACTACGGTGTCCCGGACGACGTTCTATGCCTTGAAAACACTAGAAGCAACATATGTAGGGACGCCAACCGGCTTGCGACGAGATTCAGACTGACAAATATGCCAACAGGATCACGATTTCGCCAACGTACCCTACCTTCTCCACAGCATAGCCACGTTGCCAGCTCACATACTTGGGAAAGGGGCCGATTTAGCCCTGGCAGGACTGGCTGTCTGCGTTGATCAACCCGGTTCTCTGAGGAGTGAAATTATGACGTCGCCTGATTTCTGGAAGTTATTGCACGCTCTAGCGACACAACCAAAAACAGCTGCCATGGTTTTCGATATCCTGGAAAGGGGCATATCAGGCAATTCGCACGCTATTTTGGCAGATAACTATGAGGCTGCAGTCGGGCTGCTCAATGAGTTTGCGTCGTCTGCGCGACCCTTGTCTGTCAAAGAAGTCGAAAATAGACCACGACAACCAGTTGAACCCAAACAGGAGCAAAAGTGAGCATTCCCCCATCTATCTCAACACAGGGAACCCTTGGCTAAAGAAACACTCATAGAAACGAGACAGCCGTGTCTCGCGGGTGCAAAGCTATCAGCATCCTGCAAAGCATGACAGCACGTGTACCGCAGCTTATCGAGCAATCCCACCTTGAAAGCAGTGCGGCTTGGGCGGCATACTGGCTGCCGGTTTTCCAAGCCTTGACCAGACAGTGCACGAACCCATGCCGTGAAGTCCGTCAACTGGCCTTCTCTTCCCTTCAAAGGTCCTTGCTCTCGCCGGACCTTACACGCAATGAGTCCAAGGAATGGACAGCCATCTTTGATAGTGTCCTGTTCCCCCTTATTCACAGGCTTCTCAAGCCTGAAGTCTTTTCCACAGACCGTGACGGCATGGCTGAGATGCGAGTGCAAGCGGCCTCGCTGCTGTGCAAGGTTTTCTTGCAGTATCTTGTGTTGCTGTCGGAAATGGGTGGCATGCTTGATCTCTGGTTGAAGATTGTGGATATAATGGACAGGCTGCTCAATAGTGGACAAGGTGACAGTCTGGTGAGTCAAGACTAGCTCCACCCGGTTCCCTTCATGATACTGACTTGTGTCTACCAGGAGGAGGCCGTACGTGAGAACCTGAAGAACGTGGTGTTGTTTATGGTCAGTAGCGGTTACTTGGTGCCTCCCAAGCAGGATCAGTCCGGAGCAGCCCTGTGGACCGAAACATGGAAGCGTATCGATCGCTTTTTCCCCGAGCTGCGCAGCGATCTTGCGCTTGAAAACGATGATGCACCAGATGCGCCTCCTAAGAGTGGTGCCGAAAATGCCGCTGATGAAGCTTTGCCGCAGGAACATTCGAGCAGTCCTTCTGAGCAGGCACCAAGCAAGAGCGAAGAGGCTGAGGATTGATTTCGCGCGGTTGTGCGTTAATGCCGCATTTTTCAGGTCGTAGTCTGTACGAACGGCTGGGTCCACCAGCTGAGCGAACATGATCATCATAAATTGTACAAAGTCACAAGAATAGATAGAAGAGTCTAAAAACCGGCCATAAACTTTGAAGATCCTCCAAGGTCATCTCACATTTGGTCGCTACACATTGATCAAGGGGATCCAGCTCTCCAAACGCCGCTCCAAGGCGCCAATACCATGTAACTTATATCTTGTACACGAACTGGCCATCCGCAAACCTGCTTGGTCAGCACTACAGAAACAAAAGAGAGGTTGTCAACTTACATAATGTGATTAGCTTCCTCGAGCTTCTTGAGGGCCTTGGAGGCTTCTGCCTTGTCAAATCTTTCACGACTAGGGATTTTGCCGTTGACTGCCTGGAGCACATCGTCAAAATGTGCGGCGTCATCCTCGAAAAGACTCGTGCTCATTAGCTGACCAAGAGCAGACCTGAATGTAACCAAGCGTGGAGCATCTATGGGAATGTCGTCGATTGCGAGGTCAGCCGCACCGCTCGCGAGGTCTTGGTCAGCCTCGTCGTTCTGTGTCGGTTCGAGCACTTGTGATGCCGGCAGCGAGGAGGCGAACGATGTCTGTGAATCGTCCGCTGGGTTAGCAGACCTCCCACTCCGAGTTGAGCGCCGGGGCGTAAGGTCAGGGGCATGGCCACGATCACCCGTCTCATGTTCCCCACGGTTATGAGCTCCATGGTCTCCCATACTGTCGCTAGCCCCGTTGGTCTTTGAGCGAGTCGATGCTCTTGTCGCCCTAGTCGAGGATCTTGCAGTACGACTGCCCAATGGGGTCACATTGTCCTCGCTGTCTTCACCTGAATCATCCCCAGAGCTTTCTTCACTAGATGAAGCGAACTCAGGTGCCTCGGTTCTACGCCGCTTCCTTCGCGAGTGATCTTCGAGAACCTCTTTGAATAGTGCAAAGCGCAAAATACCCTCAGCAGCTAGCGCGTCCCGTTCCTCAACTCTCGGCGACAAGCGCGATTTCGCGTGAGCCGTAGCAAGGCGGATCAGAGTCTCCAGAGTTCGAACAGTAAGAGGGCTGGTGCGCCTCTGATTACCCTCCATCTCGTCGTTTCGCAGACCGACATAGATCTCGGCTATACGCTCGGAAGCTTCTGGAGTGAGAAGTGGGCGAATGCGTGTTTTTGCATATTGAATGTATTTCTTCATGAATGGCATACTCAAGATCTCCGGCTTCTTGTTGGTCCCCCTTCCTGAGGTCGCAGTGACGCCGGCATGAAGCATTGCATCGTACTTCTCGAAAACATCAGTCTGCCTTTGCGTGTTGCTTTGCTCGGCAGCGGACACCCCAAGGGATTGGGTGCCTTGTTCCCGTACAGGAGCACCTTCTTCTGTGCCAGCCTGCCGGTAGCGATGCATCCGTAGAACATGCTCCGAGACCTGGCGATCGCGGGTGTCCTCGATATCGTCTGTGACAACGAACAGCAAGTCGAAGCGAGACAAGAGAGAATCCGGTAGGGCGATGTTCTTGTGAGGATCCTTGTGAGGATCATACTGGCCAAATACCGGGTTGGCGGCGGCCACCACGCTGCACCTGGCGTTCAGTGAGGTGTGGATACCCGCTTTCGCAATGGTCACGGTTTGTTGTTCCATCACTTCGTGTATCGCTACTCTGTCCACATCTGACATCTTGTCAAATTCGTCGATGCACACAATGCCTCGGTCGGCCATAACCATAGCACCAGCTTCTAGACGTCGCTCGCCTGTTTCCTTGTCCGATGTGACAGCTGCAGTAAGACCGACACCCGATGATCCACGTCCAGTGGTGGCGATAGCGAGCGGAGCGGTGTTCAGCACGAACCTGAGGAGTTGTGATTTGGCTGTGGACGGATCTCCGACCATCAAAATGTTGATATCGCCACGGAGATGAGTACCGTTCTCCAGGTTTTTCTCCATCCCACCAAGGAGCATGAGCAATATGGCCATTTTGATGTAGTCATGCCCATATATGCTAGGCGCCAAAGACTGTGACAGCAACTGCAAAAGATTCTTCTTCTTGGAGACCTTGTTGATGTTGCGAATATCCGTATCAGTAATGGCCGCCGTGGCGATACCGCCCCCCGCTTTTGAAGATAGGAGCACGGCATTGTTCGCAAGGATCACAGTCTTGAAGAGTGCGCTGTTGTGGTTTGTGTTTCTGTTGCCAAGGGTTCGGTAGATGCCAACAAGCTGAACTCTGTCGCCCGGTTTGACCCGATCTACCAAGTCGTCGTCAAGAATCACATCAACGCTTCGAGGAAGTAAGCCTGGGGGAGCTCTCTCGGGCATCTCTTGGATCGAAACAGTCTGGTGATCGCGATATGTGCAGAATCCGTATTCTGTTGTCAGCGGGTGGCCTTCGTCATCCTCCCTTGGATACACGTTCGAAGTGGTAGCACCGTTCGTCATGGTTTGATCCTGATATTCCCGGAAGTGAAACTTGTCCTGCTTTTCATTGTAATGCACGCTCCTAACAACTTTAGGGCGAATGAGCGAGCAGCGTGTCACAATTCCCTCGAGGGAAACCATATCATTGAGATGTTTCGATGACAATGAGCGCGGGTTGCAGGAATTGAGTCCGAAACTACCAGCCCACGCGCAGTAGTACATTGTACCGCGCGCAGTCTGGTCAGGACGTGCTTGTGGAATGGTTTCGACGATCTTTTTCAAGGCATGATCGAAAGCCACAGTGTAATCCGAGGGCTGTTTGAGAACCCCGAGGGCGAGTTCGGCGTTGTGGTCTCGGACATGGTCAAGGTTCACCACCAGGCGACGCTGATTCTTCTGCAGCATCAGAACAATATCTGAGCGGTAGCTTCGCGCATAAGAATCACCTACAAGAGGAGCAGTGTTAGCACGAGGGTGGCAGGAGCGCCGTAGGTCCCATACTTGGATCTAGGAATTCTTCCGCCTGGCGAATGCGATCCCGCACGCCTTCATCTTCAAGCATAAAAGCGTCCATGACGCTTTCTTAACACAGTGGGCCGCGAATCCAACGTGAGTTCGCGATCAGAAACTCGGCGAGCCGGCTGCGACGTGACGATGGTTGGTAAAGATTTCTGTGCCTGAATGTGGCGTTGAATAGAGGGGCTGAGCGTGTCGCCCACACGCGTCGTTCCGACACGCGTTCTGGCGTTAAGTGCTTGCAGATGCTGCTGGGCCCACTGATCCAACACAGTGTCTTTATAGCATCAGTCCTTAATTATGTACTGTGCGCGCCTGTGATCCGGCTGTGAGTGACGCCTGCTCATACGTATACGCATTTAACGACATGACCTCCGTACTCCGCGTGAGCCCACGTCTCACCTTGTCTGGCTTTGTACTCGTAACCGAGTGGGTACGGCGAGCACCAACCACCAAACTCTGACGAACTATGGCTGTTGGACTTTCGACTGTTGGGAATCCCGCGGTCGATGAGGAGGCTCGGGCTGAAGTGGACGTTCTCAACTCACGTCTGGACAAAACTGCGCAGCTGACGAAGAAGATCCAAGCCAGCCTCGGTCGACTGGATGCGACCGGGCAATGCGTGCGCGATGTCGCCGGTCCTCTCAGCGTCGAAACCAAGCGTCTTCAAGTGCTTGGCAACAGTGAATCCCGAGCAATGGAACATCATGCACATCAGAAGTTGCTGACTTCTCCTAGACATCGATGCCGTATTGGCCGCTATAGAGCGTTTGAGGCAGCCGACCGACAGTAAAAACAACGAGGAAGCCATTATTCGATCTGGTCCAGAAAATGCCGGCCTATCTAATTTTCTAGCCTCCATCCAACGTCTCAATGTGTCTCATAGGGACATGCAGGCATCCAATCTACGCGCCAACCAGGAGACTATGGCGGAGCTAGGACGCCTCATAAAGTCTGGGAATAGTCAACTTGAGGGTCACTTCGACAAGCTGCTGCGGATGGAGACGCCACGCTCGATTGAGCCCCTACATTTCGTGACCAAAGATCAGCCATTCCCTGTTTTGACTCGGGATAACTTCGCTCATCTCAGACTCATCTATTCACACCTTGCTGCCAACAATCACCAAAGTGCGCAAGAATCGTCTGTTGCCACAATATACATTGAGATCCGCGGTCCCTATCTCGCATCATCGCTCTCGAATCTGGCGGCAGCGAGTGTCAACACGGCGAAGAAGAAAACCCCACAGGCTGCGTACAAGCCAGGTACGAACGGCATCGGGACGTATGCGCAGGCTATGGAAGGAATATTCGTGTCTGAATACGATAATATCTGTCAGATTTTCGCTAGAGATGAATGGGGCATGGTCTTCCAAGCTACGTGCCAGCCAGCGTTGACTGAGCTGGCTCGAACTCTGAGGGAGATCAACAGCCACATCAAATCCCATCTAGGGACTGACTGCTTTCTCGCGTATGAGATCACCGAAATCATGTCGAGTCTTTCGGGCAACCTTGAAACCCGGACTGGCGAGCTGAAGGGCGCACTTGCCGCTGCGCTCAAGCCAATCCGAGAGACGGCCAAGATTTCTCTATCGGAGCTCATTGAAGATGCCAGAAGGAAAATCAATGGTTTGCAAACGCTCCCGGCCGATGGTGCCTCGGCCCCAGTTGTGTCAGAAACACTGCGGCGCCTACAAGCCATGGTCGAGTTCCTACGCCCAATGTCTAGTATCATGGTGTCTATTGGAGATGGCGGTTGGAAAGGCCAAAGCTCTGCAAACAGCCGACCGTCGGACGCTATCCCGAGTCTAGCATCGTTCGATGTAGGCGCGGACGGTCGGGAAATTTTTGCACACTACTGCGCAGATACCATCGATGTTCTGCTTTCCTCTTTGGAGCAAAAGGCACGTGTTTTGCACAAGAACATCTCACTGGCCGGCGTCTTCCTCGCCAATAGCGTGATCATCATCGAACGAATGATCGTCGACTCTGACTTGTCGCCTCTGCTGGCGTCGAGGTCTGAGACGCTGGCGCAATGGCGCAAGAAATCAACAGCCATGTACACAGACGTTTGCAAGAACCTCTCGGCCTGTCTATTCGACACTATCCACACCACGCGAACCAATCGGCCGACGTCAGCCTCTGCGGACTCTGCTTCAGTCGTAAAGAATCTCAGCAGTAAGGACAGAGACAAGATCAAGGAGAAGTTCACTCAATTCAACAGCGGCTTCGACGACATGGTATCGCGTCACAAGTCGTACAATATGGAGCGGGAAGTGCGCGCTCTATTTGGTGAAGATATACGGCAGAAATTGCAGCCGCTGTATGAACGCTTCTGGGATCGATATCACGAAATTGATAAAGGCAAGGGGAAGTATGTCAAGCACGACAAATCCCAGATGGCTGCCATCTTCACCAGTTTGGCATCGTGAGCCTCGTCAGTCCTACTCCTCATACCGTCGCCTTTTTTCAACCTCGAAGTCCCGAAATGATCGCCCGCTCCCGCTCATCCAAGCACCACGAAGAAGACAGACCCACGCCTTTCCAGGTAATAACTTCGCAACTTGACTCAAGTGTTGCCATCTGCCTGCTGGCAGAACGGAGTCTGAAAATTAGCAATCATGTACTTGATACACTGGAGCCATAGGGCGCGACGTCGGCATTCAATGGACTGATTACTATGATCATCAGTTTATAAGTACAGGTGTATGGTCTGGTGGGTGGTGGGGAGGTTGGTCAAAACGTCAGCCCGTACCGTTTTATTCCGGACACTCATCGCATGTTCCGCAATAGTCATGTGTTCCAAGATCTGCAGCTTTGCAGCAACTGATGCAGCATTCGTTCACGGGCCGGTCGCGCTGTTCAGTCGCCGCCATTTTGCAGATGTCTTCTTATGCAAGTGCGTCTCTAGTCTTCATGACCGATTGCGTTTGTGTTGGGAGGTGGTGAATTGAACAATCGGTAGTTCAGCTAGCAGAGTCTAGATGTGTTGCATCTTAATTCTCCGAGGCCTGGCAGAGGGTAGCTTGTGATGATACACACACACATATATATATACTTTGCTGCGGCGTATGCTCGGCACTTACGAAGTACTTGTAACTTGTCAAAGCTTGGCTGAGAAGACTGGGGATCTGACCAAGTTCAAGGACAGCAAGACGTTCAGGAGGTGTCATGCCTGGCCGACGTCGTACTGTCGGGCGCAGGGCGAGGCTTACGGGCCACTTGGTGCATCTCCCGGTCTAAACCGGTGACGAAGGCAAGGCCGTACGTACTTCACGCCTTACTACAGGGGCCCCCACCACACATTTGTTAGATTGAGCAGCAAACGTGAAACAGGTCACTCTGATCCTTTCATGCGGCCCGGCCTCTTGGTCTTCGATGACGGCGTTGCCAAGAACTCATCATGTGTCGAATGTTGATAGGATACCCCGGGAGAATGGCGTACTGTGTGAGCGAGCTTCAACCAATCTGGGCGCCGCTGATCCTCCGGCCTAGCATGTCGCACAGTCGGCAGTGTTTCGTGTACGGAGTACGTAGCTTGAATCCTTGAGCGCGGCCACCTACCTAGAGGGCTAGAGATCGGCATGAAGAGCGGCTTCACATTTGGGGCTCCTACTTGTAATCCTGGTTGTTTTACAAATGAAGGGACTCTCAACTTAATAATAACATCTCCACAATACGGATACGAGTGACAAGATCGCATCCACCCCCCAAAACCCGCCGGAGTCGGCATTCGGCAAGCTTTCTAATTTGCACGCCTCACGCGTGACGCCCCTTCAATACGCGCATACCGCGTTATAGGGTCAAGATCCTCCCTTCACCAACTGCAACTCCCACCTGCGCCGCGGTCAATGAGCCCAGAGCCAGACTTCCCGAGGTCATACGTTTGGCAAAAGTTCGTGGCTCTTGTCCCTTCGTCGTTTGGCTGATTTTGCCGGACTGCAGTGGTTGTTTCCACGATAGCTCATTCACACTCATCGATGAGATGACTCACAGGCGCATATCTGCTGGGTATCGCGAGTATCACTGGTGGAGGAAAGGCTATCGTACTTATATTTGCGCGCTTCTCATAGCTACACTACGGTCAATATGAGTAGGTATAAGGTGGCACGAACATCTCATGACTACGTCGGACTTGCGTATTCAACATTTGTTTTGGCGTCTTCGAGTTGAGCAAGATCATTGGACGCGTGGCAATCGCTTAATATTGGCAGACCGGACCAGCTCGTCAAACAAAAGCGTCCAGCACGCCCAATGCGATCGATTAATCATGGCGACCCAAGAGCCAAAATCCCACGCCCATTTTCCCGAATCAACTGAGACAGCTCTCTGTGTCCTCCCACCAGGCGAGCTCTGCCACCCCCCGTTGAGCTCCTGCAATGGCTTGATGATTCAGAGCGGGGACATGGCCGCCACCTGTGGACGTTGTGTACCCCTTTGTACGCCTTGCAGATTTGGAAAAGGCGATTGTGCGTGTCATCGCTGTCATATCCGATCAGTCCCGAGACAAATGCATCGACGTTGAACTTGATGCGGCAGATGTGTCAAGGCACCACTCGCTGACCACGCTTCATCACGGTGACTTGGCACAGTCGGCTGCGTCACACCAGAACAACCGAATATCGTCGCCGATTCTGCCCCTTGTTCAGGCGGCTCACAACCAGGGCGATACCTTTCTGCCAGTGCTGGCCAGCTTGCGCTTGCCGACGCCTTTGTCATGGACCCTATCGAGGATAGTTGCATTCCTACAAGATGACACAGCTGCAATGCACATTGACTATGTTGGACGAATGCAAATTTGGGGCTATATTCATCTGGACTCGTGTAGGTTGCAGCGGTTGTTCTATGAGAGCTCTAGCCAGCCGGATTTTAGCATCAACAATGCGCCTTCCAAAGTCACAGCAGATGGTGCTTTTTTTGAAAAGGGACATGGTCTGGGGAGGCGAGGACCACGCAATTGATTGTGGCGTCATATAACGTCCAGGCGGACCTCCAACGCCCCCCCCCCCTCCTTCTCTTCCAGTGATGAGCGATACGGGGGATTAATCGCTACTATACCTTCATCACGGGCCAAATGAGACATTCTAGTACTGCAAGAAGTCCCGCATGCACTTCTGGTCTTCTTAATCGCCGATGCGAAGACCCGATCTGTCTACCCATACTGTACGCATGGTCCTCCGAACAGAGCAGATGCTGGAACCTTATCATACTTACTCAACACGGTTGTACTCAGCAAGTTTCTCATGGAATGGGAAGAATCTGGAATTCAGGGCGACGGCGGATCCATATGTGTGGTCGTGTTTCCAACGCTACCACATTTTGGACCAAAAAAACCTCGACCACTGGTTCTAGCAGCATGTTGCCTTCCTCCGGGATCGGTGACGAAGCTGTGGAAGCGAAAGGGCTCGTTTTCGAATCCTTGATGGCATTTCTTTCTAGTTATCACGATGGTTCGCCATGGTTCATCGCGGGGTGCTTCAATATGCCGACATCCTCGGACACGCTTGATGAAGCGAAGCGTACCGGTCACATCAAATCCCTAACTCGTCGATATCTTCAAGGTTTCAGTACCTTGCTCAAGAAATACAACTTGAAAGACATATGGGCCACTTCAAGAATCTCTCTAGGGGACTCATCTCGCCTTGTACTCTGTAGCAAGTCAAGTCTCGCTGTATCGCCGCCATGAGGGAGAAGAAGGGGCTATCTTCGACCCAGCAAGCAACGGGCTGGCCTCCAAAATAGCATGCGCTGGTTCGTTTGGAGGACCACAGCGCTACGATCGCGTCTTGATCAATGACAAAATGGCAGTACCGCCGTATCGGTGCAACCATTTTGGGCTCGGTGATGCCCGAGACCTTACTCCTCAAAGCGGACATTGGGGTGTTCGAGCTATACTCAAATGTCAGCCACAAGCCGCACATGTACCGCACAACCTCTCTGCACACCAGGAACTGGCATGCTCAAGTTTGCCGAAAGTAACAGAGTAGTTCAGCCAGATCTACCACGCTGGCACTGGTCAACACATTCTCATACTTCAGCATCACGCCGAGCTGTTGAGGACTGCCTTGGGCTGCCAGGGGCTGCAACATATCAAAGTTCAAGACCCAACGTTTGTGCTACACCCGGTCGGTTCTTTTGGCTTGGGTACGTGAGATCCATCATCTGATGTGGACTGTTTGTGTTTGGGCAACCTCAGCTCTGCAACATTTTTTACGCTGGCGATGTACAGGCTACCCAATGCGGATGACGTTAATGGCATCACCAGGCGACGCAGGGTGAAGACTTTTTCAGGCACAATGCTTGAAGTACATATCAAAAACGCCCGCTTCAGCTTGCGCTGCTGCTGCGCACGACCCGTGCTCGAGAGGTTAGGTTCGCACCGGGCAAGGAAGAACCGCTCACCAACGTACATCAGGTACCCAGACGTTATGCATCGGCCAACTTTGACCCAGTGTTTGCTTCTTTACCTGGCCCGACACTCATCAAAGTAGCACTGCTGCGCGACATGTGGTACCTGCAGCGATCAATACCAGACATGGCACTGCCACGCCCACCTCTAAATCCGATTGTGGGGCTCAGGAAAGGGGCTTGTATCCGTCAACCTTTGGCTATCTGGGTGATTCCCAAATCACCATCATGCTGGTGGTTGTATGCAAGCTCCTGGCAAACACAGGCGGGCAGATGGGTCTCAAGGACATTATATTCACATTTTTCAATCATTACTTGAACCTCGACTTTCGCAAAGAGGTTGTATACTATCCTTACTTCCACAATAGCCTGGCTTATCACCGCAGATCGCGCGAGGCTATTTGCATCCTGGGATGGCATGCGCTCTCCTTGAATTCGGCCGCCAATTCCAACGACTCAGCTGCAGTCGTTGTATTCAGCAAGATACGCGAGGTCAACATCCAAATGTCTACAAACGATTTCACTCGGGCCAGCTTTATACATCCGTCGCGCGGTGAACTCAGTCAAATGCAGCGAGTCGTGGTTTCACCAGCTCTCAAAACTTCCATGAACAGCCACAGAAGCTTCATCAAAATTGACGTGCGGCACTGGGGCTCTTCAGCCACTGCCGGATGCAGATTTTTGGAATAGCTTGAATCACGCCTAGTGACTCTGATTGCTGGTAAGCGCCACGTTTCTGCCTTTGTTGCTATGTTGATGACAGACCAGATCTCGACAAAAGGACGCATGATATCCGCGCTAAAATCTGGCCACAGAGATTGATTTAAAGCGATCGAGACGATGAGGAGGTACATGCCTGCCGTTTTGTTGGCCTTACCCTCTGCAAGCAATCATCAGGCTGCAATTTCGCTAGTAAGCCAAAAGGCATCCATCGACACGATCCAGTCGGAACTGAAGTCCTTCGAACGCAGGATTCACCATGATGTAGCCCACTTTGACTCCAGTACGTCATGGCTGGCTGCAA